AGAGGCAGTCAAGAGCTTCATCAATTCGGGGTGTGGTATATTGATCGGGCACAGTTCGACTGTTAAGTGTCCGAGAATCAACACACATTCTCACATCTCCATTCTTTTTTCTCACGATCACAATGGGAGATGCATATGGGCTTTTAGACTCTTTAATGATGCCTGCAGCTAGCAGTTTCTGTATATGACAGCGTACATCATTAATATCTGCAGGAGCAATGCGTCTGGAGCGCTCTCGAAATGGGCGGGGATCTGATAGCCTAATTGTGTGCTCCACCTCTTTAGCGAGTCCCACATCCAGCTCGTCCAAAGAAAAGACAGATGCTCGGTCAGATAGCTTCTGACAAAGTCTTTGCTTCCATTGTTCTGGAACAGGTGACTCTCCAAAATTTATCAGACCCGTATCAAATCCTGAATTTACAGTGTTTTGTTTGGAAACTGTTGTGACAACATCAGTAACGCACAGACATCCCACAACAGTGCCAGCTGTAACTGTTATGTCTCGCAAGGATTCATTCTGGAACAATAAGGTCAGCTGGTTCACATCCACAGCATTACTTGGAATCACCATGGCTTGTAGCAGTACACCAGCAGGAAGTGGATTTACGTTTGAAGACTCAACTACCAAGATGTCTTCAGAGAGAGGCCTCTCCACATCCACGCTGCAAGATGCTTTACATATACTTCCAGCAGGAAATGTCAGATCGCCAGGACCCTCCCATTGTACACATCCGATCTCTTCGTTTTCTTCTTTTAAATCCAAGTTTCTTTCTGCATCTCCAGGCAAAAACCCGCAAATTCCTAATGTTTGAACCTGCGCCTCAGATGTTTCCTCACACAGCTGAGCCAAGCGTTTTGGAAGATTGGCTTTTGCATTGGTGCCAATGATGACAGGGGTTTGGTCTGGACCAGGTGGATCTGGACAAATCAGAGCTAGGACTGACAAAGTAGCTGGAGCTCCAGTCACTTTCTTAGGAAACTCCATATCTACTATCACATAGCCAAGATATGGGTAGCTTGACTCACTCAGACCCCATATGTCCAGTTTACTGACAGGGTGAATGGGTGTGTCAGACAGATACCTCCTGTACCAGGATTCAAAGATGATGCTAACCCGGGATCCACTGTCTAATAGGGCATTACATAACTGTCCATTGATTTTTAAAGGTTCCAAGGACGGTGGTCCTATTAGTCCTTCTGGGAGCCCGACCGGTTGTAGGTTAGCCACTGCACTCTTTCTCACTGTAGCACTTTGCTCAACACTTTCATCAGTATGAGGCTGAGTATTTGAACTTTTAGCTTTTTTGAGTGCTTGGATTAGCCTCAGAATGACTTTATTTTGATTTTCAGGACTTCTGCATTTGCTTGCTATGTGTCCACTTTCACCACAGCGATAGCAAAAACGTTCATCCATGTCAGGATGTCTATTTGGAGTGTGCACTGCCATGACAGCTGGTGTTGTTTCAGCCTGATGTGACACTCTCGACTTGACTTTTTGCTGCAGCTGTTTAACTTGCTTCTTTAAAGCGACAACATCAGCATCCAGACTTGGTTCTTTAAGTCTCTCTCTGTCAGTTGAACATTTGTCTTGCTTGTCTGCCGTATCTTGAAGGGATTTTGAAGACAACGCAGCGAACATTGACTTCACCTCTTTTATCTCGGCTCTTAGACTCTGAATTTCACTCTGATTGTGGTCCAACTGAGGTTTTGGGTGGACTGCACGTACTGATGGGGACAATTTAGCTCTAGATGCTTCATACTCCTCTTCAGCACGAATTTCACGCAATAGTTCAAGAAAGGTCGGAGGGTTCCCTTTTCTCTCCCTCAACCTGAGCTGAATTAGCATTAAGTCTGAACCCACTGCGCCCTTAAGCAACTGTTCAATCCGAGCTTTGTTCATGCTTGAGGCAGGAAGGCCATCTTTTTGAACTACTTTCGACAAACTGCGCTCTAGTCTTCGTAGGAAATCTGACAGCTTTTCCCCAGACTGTTGCTGCATCAGTCTGAAAGCAAAGTATAAATCATCTCCTGACTCTGCCATCCCAAATGCACTGTCAAGAGCTTCTAGACACTCTTCCGGACTGACATCCGGATCCGAAAGGCGAACTGCCTTGATGACTTCTAATGCAGGACCTTTTAGGCTCTCCATTATTCTCCTTCGTTTTTCTTTGGGCGAACATTCACTCACTTCCACCATCATGTAAGCCTGCTCCAACCAATGATCAAATGGTTCCTCACCTGCAGGAGTAGGTAGTATGCCAGAGAAAGTGCGCAGGCGGCGAAAACCTCCAGCTTCTGTTGCAGGTTTAGCTGCTTTGTCCAGTAGATCACTCACAGCACGAATGAGGGACTCTGTGGGTGAGGGTACAGGTTCTGACCCAGTTAGAAGAGCATGCACATCCTCTGCAGTCTTCCCTTCTGCTTGTAACAGAGTATTTAGTTTGACACTAAAATCTTCATCTGCACTTGAAGATTCTGCCACAATGAATATAGGCCATACTGTAGATTCATCTAAAGTCAACACCTCATTTGGTATGTCTGCATTTGTAAGTTTTTCCCTGCACTCACAAAGCACTAATATTTGATCTGTTGATTCGTCAAACATTCTTCCCCTCACTCGCACACGCCCAAGACACTTTATAGTTTGCAATGTCTCTTCTATTTGTGCAACTTCTGTATTTTGAGGAACTTTTGTCAACAAGGCATGGCTCTCATTTATGCCCTCCCCTAGACACCAGTTCTTAAGTTTAGTCACCATAACCTCAGTTTGCTCCATTTTCTCTTAAATTTTTTTTTCTCTTAAAAATAACGATCAGGAAAGTACTTTGAACTAATATATCAATAAACTCAAACAACGAATCCCAGCGGTGCCTCCATTTTATGTAGCCCAATTACACCGTTTTAACATGGGTAAGGGCCCCTGAGTTCATTAAACTCATCAAGTTATAAATAATAATTTTAGTACACTCTCGTGTTTTAAACTTATGTTGAGTTTAGAGTAATAATATACCCGTATTTCTTTCCCTTCTCACCAAATAGTAGACTTAAACAGAAATAACACACTCTAAGTATAGTTCTTAATAAATCAAACGTACACCTGTATGAGAATTAAACATGTATTAAACACATTAACAAATGCACAAACTGTGAAATACTTCACTCTTTTAAGTTCACACAATATATTAATTAATGTGGGCCCACAGTTCTAAGTTCACCTAAGCCGGCAATACTTAACTAAAATAGTGTCCCAACAAAACAAAAAGAAACCCC